AGAGAGAGAGAGAGAGAGAGAGAGAGAGAGAGAGAGAGAGAGAGAGAGAGAGAGAGAGAGAGAGAGAGAGAGAGAACGGAAGTCTCACACACACTAACGTGCGGAGTCTTCTTTTTTTTTTCTATCCAATAATCAACCAATCAGTCAATCAATTAAGTAGCTGGTGATCCAAAGTAAACAAAAAAAACATTATAGGCTACCAGAGTGGCCTGGGACCTTTTGGCGGACCGGCCAAAAAACAAAAACAAAAAATTGATTTTTTAAATTTTTTTTAACTCGGTAAAGAATTTCGATGTGTCTCCGAGGCAAAAGTTGTTCAGTTTATTTTTCTGCATAACCTAAGTTTTTTTCCGGATTTGTTTAAGGTCTTTCTTTTTTTTCCTTTTTTTTGCGTTCGGGTTCAGCCGAATGCGTCTCCAAGGTGGCCCGAACGTTTGGCCGTTCGGGTTCGGCAGTTCGCCTGGACCCGAATGCCAGCTACCCTGCTTGTCTATATAGTTTTTATCAGCCGCGGGCTGTGTAAGAGCCCGTCGTGGCCTTTTTTGTCCGTCTGATTGTGGGCCTGGCGGCTGAGATTTGTCCTCAAACGCTTTCCTTTGCCGACACCTGGTGGGGTGTTTGGCGGACAAGTGGATTGTCTGCCTGGTTGAGAAGTTTGTCAGAAAGTGTCAGTGACCGGGGAGAGCTCAAGAGAACGTCAGGAAATGTCAGGGAGTGTCAGGGATTGTGAGAGAGTGGGATAAGGTGTCAGAGGGGCAAAAGAGCAAATTGGAAATTGCCAAATCAAGAAACCTCTGACACGTATGACGATTTGTGTCATCAGAGCATTTTTTGTGTTATCAACTTATCATTACTGACAGCGTGCCGCATGTGTCAGATGGAGGGAGGGGCAAAAGAGCAGGTTCGTCTGACACATCTGACGGGTGGAGCATCGAGGGTTTTTTTTCGCGACCATCTTTTTGCTGCGACTGCACCGAGTTGCAAAAAAGAGTGGGAAAAAAAAACATGCGTCTTCGTTTGGAATGGCATCAAGTCATGACTGCACGCAAAGAGAATGAGGCCCACCCACCCACCCACTGTCGCATGCCTGGAAGATCAGAAAGGCATGGTGCACAACCCAAGAACTGACAGAAGGAGAAAGAGCAATAACAATCCAGCAGAAGACTGAAATACACAGATCTGACTCATCACGACTCAGGACTGACTGCATACACCCATCATCACACGCATCGGAAATGGCATGGCGACACATACACAAGAAACGTAGCCATGGAAGAAGGAGGTGAGGGGAGAGACGAAGGGGAAGAAGAGGAGGAAACGTCAAATAGCCCTGCGAAATGGTGAATGCATAGTCTCCCACAATAACCCCCAATGTCTCTCCCCGATTACGATGTGTGAATCTGGGCAAGCGCCCCAATGTCACCAAGTCTCAACTCTCTCTCTCTCTCTCTCTCTCTCTCTCTCTCTCTCTCTCTCTCTCTCTCTCTCTCTCTCTCTCTCTCTCTCTCTCTCTCTCTCTCTCTCTCTCACACACACACACACACACACACACACACACACACACACACACACACACACACACACACACATATAGAAGAAGCAGCTGCGAGGGAGAAGAAGAAGACGAAGACGAAGAAGAAATGGAGATGGAGGAGGTGACCAGGAGAGACGAAGAAGAATGATCCTCTCGATCTCTCTCTCTGCCTCAGAGCCACATATTGACCAGTGTAAAGGTGTCACCTTGGAGCTCTGCTCCAGGTGGGAGCGCCCTGAAGATGAACCGCAGCAATGGCACACAGGTGAGTCAAGCAGGTAAGTCCCACACTCCTCCGCCCTGACCCTCCTATCTCTCTAGCTCTAGCCTAGCTCCTCCACAAACCAGCTCTCCTCCAGCAGCGTAATGCCTCGACCTCCAAATGCTGCCTACCAAAAGTGAGGACGGCCCAGCTGTATATAGCGTTGGGGGTACTGGATGCAGCTGCGGTCTGCATCATGGGCCGTCCGATTGGAATGCTGATCAATGGTCCAGGATGCAGGCATCTTGACAACTACGTCCTGGCCTCTACTACTCAGCTGCTGCTTGTCTCCTTCTTTCTGCAGCAGTTTGAGATCGAGTCGTATGTCCCCCATTTCCTTCCTCTGCCTTCTTCTTCTCTGTGGTTTTCTTCTTACCTTAATCTCCGCTGCTTCCTGCACCGCTGCCTCCTGTTGGGAAAACGCCAAGAAGCATCCGGTGGAACAGGGGGCACGAGATCTCCAAGAGGGTCACTGCCCCATACATGAAGAGATCGTCACCTCCCATGGTGACTCTGGGACATTCCCGTCAACCCTGAAGGACTCTGCCTCAATCACCCTAGACAACAGCTTACTAGAAGGTCAGCCTCACAGGCAAGTCAATCAAATTCCTCACACCCCGTTCCCCCTTTTTTGGCGTGTGTATGCTGTTCTTTCATCGCGGTCCTACTCACACAGCCAATCTGTGTTTCTAGTCTGATGTCAAAACAATCATAGCTGGCGGCTTTCCTCAATTCGGATGCATCAATTCACAGTTAGCGTCAATCACAACTCAAAGCAAAGTCTGCAAAGGGTGTACTAATGATTTCTTCTTTTTTTCCGACTTCTGACGGGTACTGATGCAGACAAACTCTAGCCTACGTGTCTAGCAGATCGACCAACACACACACACACACAGGCAATCAGGTCAAGTGGTACGGCGGGGTGCTCCCTGGTTCTGAGATAAAGCGGCCTCTTATATGGACAGTCGCTTTATTGAAAGACGACCACATTGGTCGGCCCTTCGGCTCTCTTCTATCCAATGTGGTACTTCATGAGCTTGAGAAATTTGTAATGCGACTGAAGAGCGTTGTCGACAGAGAGGGCAACCGCCGCTGGTTGCAGAAAAAAAAGGCTCACTGTGAAGGTCCGGTGGCGACCAGAGAGCAGCCCATAGTACCTGCCTAACCCGAAAGGGACCTAGTAATAGGAAAGCACATACAATCTCATCAGTAATCGGGAAGGGGTCTATGCATCTGCACAACACAGATTTTATTCTACGACACAGAGACAACTCCCGCCTAGGGGGGTTTAATTTAACGTTGGATCTTTGGACTTCAAGTTGAAAGATTGTTGATGACCTCCCTGTCGGCACGAATACCCTTACAAGGCTACTTATTTTTGCATCTCACAAGAAACGCATCTTTGATAATACTTGAGAGAGTAACACATTTTTGCACCACCGCGATCGACTCCCAAAAGTCGGAACGACGAGCGCATGCGTGGTTAGGTCAGAGAGTGTGTGGACTTGCGCTTGGGGGGCGTGTGTTGATTCAACTAGATGTTTGATGGTGTAGCGAACATATCAGTGTAGTTAACGACCTTGTGCAATAGTGCGAGCTAGAGAAGGATTAAGATTTTGATTAGTATCCCGCGCGCAATAACCGCACTCGCGTAGGCACTGGCGGTGTTACGGTCGACGTTGTGGTTAACTATCAAAACCGTGATCCAAGGTGAGGTCCGTTGACCTACCTAAGGCGGCGCTTGAGTCCGCATAGCGTGAAGTATGTCTAATGCTTAGGGTGGTCGTGCTTTGGTCGACAGTAGAAACTACCAACGACCTTAGCAAGGCTGACATCAGAGGTGGCAACTGGCCCGTACCCAACTGTAACCGGCAGGTTATGGGCAGGTACGGGTACCCTTCCGGAGGGGGGCATCGGTATGGGGAGGCATAAATTTTATTTGTGGATTTCAGGGCAGGCACGGTTGCACGGCATGGAGATCAGAGACAGGCATGGGCAGGTACTGGTGGTGAAAAGGGAAAATCCGCAGGTATGGGCGGCCAAGAAAAAAAAGCATGGGTACGGCCGTTATAGGGTGGTGAAAAAAAGAATCAGATGGGTATGGGCAGGTAAGCAATTATGTCGGGTAACCGTACGTAATATCCACCTTTCCCCCCTTTCCCCCCCTTCCCTTCTTCCCAAGAAATATGCAGACAGGCGGAGCTGTTCTTTTCTTAGGCGCAATTTTTTTTCAGCGCGAACAGTGAGAAAAATATTTCGGGAAATAGCCTCCCGACTTTGAAATTGGCCACTTTCGAAATGGGAAGGCTCCAGCCTCGCCTCGGAGTTCCCCCTTGGAAATTGGCCGCCCGTCATCGTTGTACCTGCCATCATACTGTGTGTGCATGCCACTGCATGGCCATCGTCCGCCCATCGTGGTTGTACCCGCCGCCGTTCTGTGTGTGCTGCATGGCGTTCTGTGTGTGCTGCATGGCCATGAGAGAGAGAGAGAGAGAGAGAGAGAGAGAGAGAGAGAGAGAGAGAGAGAGAGAGAGAGAGAGAGAGAGAGAGAG